GTGCAGATCTACCAGTTCCCCACCGATGACGAATCCGTGGCCGAGATCAACTCCACCATGAACGTAAGGCTCATTTCTACTGTTGTGCTTTACACATTCAGCTAACCTAAGCAAAAGATCCACAGTTCAGTCGTGGAGGGGGACACAAAAGCCTTCAGGGTTGTGTCGGGAAGGGCATCTGGGATTAAAGAGTCAAATCAAACGTGTGGAGCTACCTGCTGTGGCGACCCTGTGTGACTAAGGGAGCAGACGGATGTAGCTACACTGCTTAATTCTAATTTATTTTACCAGCGTAACAACTTGTGATGTGGAGTCGGGGCAGATGTCGTACGCGTCTCCTTAGTCTGTCAGGAAGCCGCTGCCGCAGCACGGCGAGCGTTCAGCTCGCTCTGCAGGAAACCTGCAGTGTGGGAAAGGGCCTGTGTGCACTGACAGATAATTCAAGGCTCACTTAGATGTTTATTAGTCCTGATCTGTGCAAATTCCTTAACTATCCTTAACTGATTCTATTAAACCGCAGCCTCTCCTCTCATGTTTGCACAGCCTGACCTCAACTCTGTTCTGAGACATCATAAATCTTTATTGTAGTGCTGTCTGTCTGGAAAAACAAGTTCTTAATGATCAGCTTGTGTAAGTTGAAGTAATGGAATCGATGCCTGCAGCACAAACACGAGGTGTTTGATTTATTTATTTATGTTGTGTGTGGAGAGAAGCTGTGGAGAATTTGCAGAGTGTGTGTTTGGCAGTACACCAACCGTGCTTTTCTTTACGCTTCACAGAGCCATTTGCCCTTTGCCGTGGTGGGGAGCACAGAGGAAGTCAAGATTGGGAACAAGATGGTGAAGGCCCGGCAGTACCCCTGGGGAACGGTGCAGGGTAAGCCCGGGTTACATCCTGCACAGGAAATGAGAGCATGCTCCTTCTCATCACAGCTGCTCTAGCCACTCCCGCCCCTTATATTTCTGCTCAACTCAAATAGCTGCTGCAGACTAGCTGATAACCAGTTATATAACCTGCAGTTCCATCACACTGTAAATCATTGCAGCACCAGCTTTTAGCCCATAAAGGAACTATATGTCGTTTTTATTGACCTCCTTGATCAATGGTGTGGTGAATGTATGTGAAGTAGACAGAACTGTCAATACTTTAACTCCAGTTGCACTGATTTGCCGTTTGTTACAGACACATGCTTGCTGTTA